GTGCATTCTCAGAAGAATCTTGCTGCCTGTGCTTTTGTGATATGTACAGAAATCCCTTTTCATCCAGAGCTGTCAGTGTCCTCTGCTTGATTTATTTCAATCTGGAACTCTAGTTTTGCTTTATTTGAGTTTGGTGCGGTGGCTGCTCTCTTTGTTTTTGTTTTTTAAATTTGTTTTCAAGATGCTTTAAGCTACAGATGCTTCTGACTTAAGAGAGCAGGAGATAAATACTTGGAACAAACACATGCACAAACAATATGCATTTTCAGTTCTGATAACACTTTCCCCCTTTTTACGCAAGAGGGTTCCATCCTTTCTATTTCTTCCCTTGCCAAGACCTCAACGGAAGTCAATCGGTTAATGGAGTCATAAAACAGGCAAGCAAACAAAACCAACCAACCAAGAGCAATCAAGATGTTAGATTTGTTTCGCTTATCGGACGCAGAAGCGCCAACAAAAAACACTGTTGGAGGTTGGGAAGACAAGCATTAATTAACGCTGCCTAGAATGCAGGGCACTCATTAGTCAAGGAGCGTGTACACTTGAAATGGTCGAGGAGAAAAAAACAGATTTTTTTCCAGAGCATGTTCAAACTCTCTGCCTGGAATAAACTTTTAAAAGATATGAAAAAGAAGACCCTCTAGACTAGATCACTAAAATGCAAGCCAGTTTCTAAGGCAGTCTCATCATGGATCGTATCCACTCAGTAGTACCAATTAAAGCAAAGAAGAATCAGAGACCCTCTAGATCACTGAAATGCAAGCCAGTTTCTAAGGCAGTCTCATCATGGATTGTATCCACTCAGTAGTATCAATTAAAGCAAAGAAGAATCAGAGATGCAAAAAAATAATATCTTTTTATCTACAGTTCCTGGAATCCTTCAGCTCACTCCACTCCTTGGTCCATGACCTCCTCTGTATGTTTCTAGATCTTTGTTAAAAAAAGGAAAGAAAGCATACACCAAAAACATTGTTGTTGTTGTTTAGTTGTTAAGTCGTGTCCGACTCTTTGTGACCCCATGGACCAGAGCACACCAGGCCCTCCTGTCTTCCACTGCCTCCCGGAGTTGGGTCAAATTCATGTTGGTTGCTTCAATGACCCTGTCCAACCATCTCATCCTCTGTCGTCCCCTTCTCTCTCCTCTTGCCTTCACACTTTCCCAACATCAGGGTCTTTTCCAGGGAGTCTTCTCTTCTCATGAGATGGCCAAAGTATTGGAGCCTCAGCTTCAGGATCTGGCCTTCCAGACCAAAAAAACAAAAAACAAAAATACCCACCCACAAATAAGAGAGAAATAGAACAAAAGAACATCAGAAGATCCCTGCTGGATCAGGCCAAGGGCCCATTGAGTCCAGCTTCCTGTATCTCACAGTTCTCCTGGTTCTGGAAACAGAGATCTAGAAGATACCTCTGAATAGGCCCATCTTTGGGAAATTTCCAAAGGTAGCACACCTGTTTAGGATACAGGACTGCAGGTGTAGTCAAGTGGCATAAGCAATTGCATCCAACTCATGGCTATCATCGGGTGGATTGGGCAGGCATTTTATGGGCAAGAAACATGTCCAAGTTCAATATCAAGGACCGTATAAATTTCCTAAATAGGTAGCTATAGCCAATACCGATAACCCAAGTTATTCTTAGAATGATGTTCTGACATGCTGCTGTCTCCAGTTTCACTAAGCAACCATCCACAGCTAAATATTTGCCAACACCACTAATAAATAATAGTGCAGTGTGAAACTGACTTGGAGGTCCCTCAGGTGAGGCTCTGGGTAGGCAACTGCAAGGTTTGCTCAGGGGAGAAATAACCATGTAAAGAAATAATAATCAGGATCATCATCATCATCATCATCATCATCATCATCATCATCATCATCATCATCATCACTACACAGTATCTCAGCTGTTCCAGCATGTAAAATATCTGTGCCGCCCTGCCTAACTTTGGCAGACTAAAAATTAAATTATTCATGTGTTTCTTCACCAGCAATAATGATGACAGGACTAACCTGTAACAGGAATAATAATCCTACACAAATTATAGAATGCTATTTAAACATCTCCAGATTAATGGAAGAAAAACAGATGAGGATCTGAAACTGCATCCACAATTTGATCCAGAGCCTCTGAATTTGTATAGATTTTGAGCTGGAAAAAAAAAATCAAGCCCCAAGCTGCATAATTAATGGTAATCCGCTAATGTACAATAAAGACAGCAGTTTCCAAACTACGTTCTGCAGAAGGTCAAGAGAGCTTCATCAGAGCTTATCAGTGATGGGGATAGAGAGGTAGGCTCGGCAAAGGATCTGTGCAGGGAAATTCACAAAAGCAGAGAAGCTGCACGTTATGTCCAGGGCTTGGAAAAGTTACTGTTACCATTTTCTTATCACACAGCACAACCTTACACTTGTGGAGCAATGGTTAAACTGCAGTACTGCAGCCAAAACTCTACTTACAACCTGGGTTCGACCCCACGTAGTTGGCTCAAGGTTGACTCAGCCAACCCCACATAATTGGCTCAAGGCTGACTCAGCCTCCCATTCTTCCAACGTCAGTAAAATGAGTACTCAGCTTGCTGGGTGTGTGCGCGTGTCAATTAACGGATAATTAAATTGTAAACCACCCAAATAATGCTTTAAGCACTATGGAGTGGTATATAAGCAGCACACTCTGATTTTACTTTATACTCCCAAAACACAAGGAAAGGGCTAAGACAGGAAGGCTTCGAAGTGGAAACTCCACAAAAGCTTCCCTTACTGGTGGCACTGGGGAGGAAGAGCTAAAGATTCCTCTGTTTATACTTTGAGAGTGTGTAAGAAAGCAGAGTTCAAAGGCTGGCCACTTCTAAACTTTATCATTTCTGTATTTAGGCTTTTCCCTTTTCAGCTGGAATATGGTTGAAGAGGGTCTTACTTTACTTGCTAGGTGCTCTTATACCTTCCTTTCTTTAACTGTATAAAATGCTTATTCTGTCTCCCAAAACATACAACACACATTTGATTTTTCCGCCATCCAGATGATGTAAAGTTTATCCTCATGTGTTCAGTGCATTTACCCATGCTTTTCATACTTTTTTCTCCCCCTGATAAAGACATGATTTTTTTTCTGTTTTTTTCTCCCTGGGAGTCAGAAATGGTTTTTCCCCCAAGAGATCTATTACCATATCAGAGGCTCCCGGTCAGAAGTTTTTAATTAACACACCAATATCAAACAAATTTTAAAAAGTCAAAATCCTAAAGATTTCCTGCCTCCCCAATGGATTTCAAAGATTTTCTAAAGAGAAGCAGATTTTTTAAAATGTGGCTTTTTGAAGTACAGTGTAGATGTAAATCCTGCTCTCCTTCAGGGTGAACTTTTCCCCCATCTGGAAGAGTCTTCACAGACAGACTCGGAAACACTCACACAGAATCTTGAGAAGGGAAATAGGAATGCTACAAAATCTCCCGTGTGAATGCACCAGGCGAGTCTCTACCCATCTTTTCTCATGATGAAAGCAGGAGATGTCAGAAGTGAAGGAAAGATTAGCAACTCATTTTGCTGTCTAGTCTTGCTAGAGTACAATGCTTCCTAGAGTACTTTTCCTTGCACATGGTCCTCTAGTAACAATTTAGTCTCCAAGATTTGTTGAAAAGAATCTCGAAATGTGGAATCTCAGCTAGGCGGATGTTACCAAGGGACATTTCAGCTTTCCTATACAGTGGCTTTCCTGCATTTCATGACTTGCATGCTGACAACCACTTTTACCACAATTTCCCACAAGCATAAAGCATTCACAAAATACACCAAATCAACTTTTACTCTCACCCCTTCTTGCTCCTCTTCCCACCACACGGGGATGTCACTTCAGCAGTTTCCATTCCCTGAGATTTCAAGCTCTATACCTGAGACAGGAGGGTGTCCCTTGTGTAGCAATTGCAAAATTTGTGCATGTGTGTGTGTGTGTGTGTGTAAAAGAGAGAGAGAGTTGAGAGAGAACGACAAGATAGATTTTCCACAGTACTTTCTAAATGAATATATTTGTTCTGGGTGAGTAAACCCTGGTATCAGTTGGGAGTGGAAAAGGAAACAGGAGGCTAGGCTCTAAAGTCACCAAAGACATGAATCTGTAGACCTCCTGAATCTGCAAATTTAGATATTGCATAAATTTAGAAACTACCCAGCAGCTTCTTCTGTCAGGACCAAACTATTGCCTGGTCTGGGACTCAGTTGTCTAAGACAACACCTCTGCCACATGAACCATCACAAGTGCTATGGCAGGTGCTAATGCAGGACTTTCATATATCCAGTGGTGACAAAAGGCTAAGGTGTTGGGAGAGACATCTGGAACCTCGTGCTGTAGGACAAGCAAGAAGGCCCTCAAATGCAGCCAGATTTATTTCCCCAATCACAAAGTGAAGGAATAATAATAATAATAATTTATTGTCGTCGTAAGTATATACACATACAACGAAATTCACAACCGTCATAAAATGGTTCCCTACAAGATCATGAAGTTCAGAGTTTAAAACTATTGAAGTCTGCTACAACTTTTATCTTGGATTGTTTGCCTTGTTTGTAGGTCTGGAAAACAATTTCATTGGATTTGGCCATTTCTGGGAAAGAGATGTGCTCGTAAGAACTGTGGCAAGAAGAAATGGAATTCACCTCAAGAACTCAAAAACCGGTAAGACTTAACGGAGTGCTTTGGGAAAAAGACTATTTCAAATATATTTTTAAACTGTGAACACCTAAAATGCATACGACTGAAAAAAAAAGGAGCGTTCATTCAAGAGGTACATCATATGTGGCCTATGGGCTGGATGAAAGCTATTGGGTGTGTGTGTGAGATTTTACAATACCAAAAGCAACCTAGAACCACCATTAAACAACCACCACCACCAAATTTGATCAAATTTGGAGAAACACAACAAAATCGAGACTGAGAGATTTTCACAGCCCTAGCTCCATTGTTGCTCAAAATGATGCCCACCGTATCAGTGACTTCTTCATAAGGAGCTTACCTGGTCTGTTTCCGTAAATGTACTCTGCTCATCATCTTCAATATCAGACTCTCCCACAGCGATGGGGACACAGATGGACAGGTTTGGGTTGGTCATGAAGTCGTCGTTGTGGTCAGGGGCCACCGGCTGCTTCACCTGGTTCCTTCCAGCTCCGTCATCCCCCGTATGGTTCTCCTTGGGATGATTCTCTTCTTCTTTCCCAAACTCCATTGCGTTGTGGTTATTGATGCAATTGTGGACGACCGCCGGGTTCTGGGCTGCCAGTTTCAACATGACTTTCTTCTCAGCCGACGCCTTGGGTTGCCACAAGACGGTGCAGCAAAAATCCCACATGGCGCGCTTGGCGTAGTTCAGCCCCCTGTTGATCCGCGCAAAAGCAAGTTGCAAGTTGTTCATCTCCCCGTCCTCATCCGGTGCAGAAAGGTTATCGGCACTAAACGAACTCAATAGCAAGGCCAGAAACAGGTTGAGCACCTGAAATGAAAATGCAAGTGTGTTAATCACGTTGAGTGTTAACATTCATATATTCACATCCATTCCTATTGGGAATTCATATATTCTGCAGAATCTCTTTCCAACATAATGCTGCTCAAGTTAATAATTGTCTGGGATTGAAGGGAAAAAAAGGGAAGAGTGATGCGAAATTAAGCAGTGAAGTGCCATGGCCCACACGCATTGATAGATTTTTTAAAAGAAGAAGTAGGACAATAAAAACATTGCCCTGCTCTGGAGTTCTTCCATTCAGCATCCCAGCCTGCCCAATCTATTTCTTGAGCCTCCCATGTTCCTTTATGCAAGCAGCTATGTTTATCCACTGAACTGCTCAGCTGCCATTCGGATAGTTTCGTCATCCCCAATTCTTAATAAATCTGTGTCACCGAAGCAGTCAATCCACTCCGGATGTTAGTCCAAACCTTGGGGGAGTTATCCGACGTTCTGAACTCTTGTCCCTGAAATAGATTCAGCACCTTGGATAGCTTATGTAAAGTTTGGGCTAAATCTTGAAGTGACAGCAGAGCCACCAATCTCAACTGGTGTGGTGCTCTATGTGTCTGCAGGCGTGTGCAGTAGACACCATTGTGCTTAATCCCATTTCTGTTCAAATATTTCACATCTGTATTGATAGCTACGGACAACTCTCTCGTTCATTCATGGGGCTGTTGCGCAATAGCTTCTCAACATGGCCATGGAAGTCACCTGCTCTCAAAATAGGATAATTCTTTCCACAATTTAATACTTATGACTTATCTTGTCCATTCTCCTTTCACACACACACCCCATTCCATGTTATTTTCCTCTCAGATACCAGGCGTTTCTCTTTTTTTGCATCCTGCCCACCCAGCACTCCATGTCATGGAGTTCCTGTGAGACTATTTTGATCATAGTCTTGCCCAATCACTGAATACCAAAGATTGAAACCCTACATCTGCAGATATCCCTCTCTAGTTCATGGGTGCTGAATTTCTGGCATGAATTGCACAAGCACTGGGAGGCTTGAACTAGACAGAGAAGATGTGGTTGGACATGTTTGTACAGCAAAAGGTCTGCCCTCAGCCTTGATCTAGAACCATTAAATGAACCCTCCATCACAGGACTGTGAAGTCCTGGTGGAAGATAATACAGGATGGGTGGCTTTCCTCTCCTAGTCTTGCTTAGCGGCGAAGCTGAACAAGGCATATGACAAATAAAAAACTAGAACATCCCCAGTCCATTACAAGCAGATACGACTTAGGCTCAAGAACAGGGCTTGATCCCAAGGGTTGCAGATTCAAGCCATGTCCTGTCATCACTATCAATACCATTGTTATAAAAATATTCAACAGAACAGGATTTGTTGAGCTCCATTTAAAATTCTCATTTATACTTTGCAATGGATCATCACAGAGCCCTTGGGGATGAAACCTGCTGTAACTAACAAGCTACCTACCTACCTAAAGAAACAGTGCAATACCAGATTTAATCATGGCACCTGGATGACACACCTATGAAAACTTCATATAGTAAATATTCATTTTGACTACTCTCCACAAGCACAGTGTGCACATGCGCACACACAACTTCCCCACTCACATGTTTTCACAGCAGAGAAGGAGAAATGCGGCTTTTTTGTGACCTATGTAAGCACCCCCCACAATTGCATTCCTGCCATTTTCCTTGTAGGCCTCCATTGGGGAAATGAATGACCTATTTTAGGACAACCCTGGCATATGGCGAGAGAACGCCTTCGACCAGTGCAATCACAGCCTTGCTTTTTTTCCAAAGGAGATGCATTTATTTTTTGCGATGGAGAGTTAATGAAAGTGCTTCCAAAATTAGGTGCTTTTAAAAAGAGGCAAGCAAGAGAGATTTTTTTTGCATTGTTATATTTATATCTCACAACACAAGTGCAGATGCTGTTATTCTATAATGACAAATCTTTCAGTCTTCCACCACAAAAGCCAAGTCTAGCAAGGTAGGGACTTTATGTCCTCCTCCAGAATGCTCCTTTGTTCTTCTCACATCTCAGAACAAGCTGGTGTCCAAAGCCTACATTGGACTGTAGGTGACAAGAAATTTCCCTTTTATTCCATAATACCAAGGGCACTGGCTCTGGGCAGGATGTTCCTCCAGCCCAAGCTTTCTCCCTGACCCAAGTGTTTTCTCCCACGTCCTTTCACCGAATGGGAATGCTTCCTATGGAATGAAGTTGAAAGAAGTGGGAGGGAGGAGATCAACTTGCTCCAACTCTCATCTGACTTCCAAACCAGGCAGTAGAAACTTCACCTTAACTCCCACTCTGCCCTGGCTGAAGGAAAGGAGAATATAAAACTCGCTCAGATAATCTGCCAAAGGCTCCTTTTCCCTTCCAACCAACTATGAGTCCTCAACCTTGGGTCCCCAGATGTTCCTGGACTAAAACTTCTAGGAGCCTTCACAACTAGCTTGTGCTGGCCAGGATTTCTGGGAGTTGTAGTCCAAGAACATCTGGGGCCCGAAGGTGGAGAAGCACTGAACTAGTGGTAGCAGAGTCAAAATAGCCCTGGCAAAGGTAGTAGAAGGTGAATCTCTAGAGAAGCCCAACAGGGACCAAGAAAGTGATTTCTCTCTGTGAGTCAGTGAAATTACGAGCCGTCACCATTAGCTTGTGCTGGCCAGGATTTCTGGGAGTTGTAGTCCAAGAACATCTGGGGCCCGAAGGTGGAGAAGCACTGAACTAGTGGTAGCAGAGTCAAAATAGCCCTGGCAAAGGTAGTAGAAGGTGAATCTCTAGAGAAGCCCAACAGGGACCAAGAAAGTGATTTCTCTCTGTGAGTCAGTGAAATTACACGAGGTTGGGTTAACAAATTGCCAATATTTAACAAAGTGATGGCTGCGCTCCTCATGAGCGGGAATGCAACCAGCACTTCATTAATTGGCAACAATTTGCTGCCACTCCTTATATATATAGACCTTCCATCTCAGGCTGGGCAATGCAATGGCTAGGAAGCACTTTACTTTCTACATCAAGCAGCAAGAGTAATTGGGCCTGCCACCTCTCCAGATATGGATGAAAACCTTCTCCCATGCTCTATCTGTTTAGAAAAAGACAAAAGCCTATCTCACAGCCATAAATACTGCACTCCCAAGCCAACTACCCCAGACCACAGAGTGCTGTCCTCTGAAGATGCTGGCCACAGAGACTGGCGAAATGTTAGGAAGAACAACATTCAGAACACGGCCAAAGAGCCTGAAAAACCCACAACAACCATTAGATCCTGGCCATGAAATCCTTCGCAAATACATTGACAGATAATCTCTTCTCCTTAGCACACCAATACACCCACAACAAGACACACTAATCACCCATCTACAGAAAAAGACAAAAGCCTATCTCACAGCCATAAATACTGCACTCCCAAGCCAACTACACCGGAGCACAGAGTGCTGTCCTCTGAAGATGCCGGCCACAGAGACTGGCAAAACGTTAGGAAGAACAACCTTCAGAACACGGCTAAAGAGCCCGAAAAACCCACAACAACCATTCTATCTGTTTAGTTTTACCCCACCTTCCCCTCCTCCTCTAGAGGAACTCTGATTCCTGAACAGTGGGCCAAATTGTACAGGGGAGAGTCATAGGGTCTCTGTTGCAAGCCATAAAGCCTAGGTATCCAGAGGTTTTTCCATCTATGCAGCACAGAAGGTTACTGTTTCCCTTGATTTCTTCATTTTGTTTGGTCTAATTACTAAAATCTGTGTCTAAGAACTCTCACAAGCCAGCATGGCCTTAATTACAGTGCTAGGACTTGATCTGAAGTATCTTGTCATTATTAATCCATCAGACACTCACCGTAATCACCATGATTAGCTTGAACACACTTGCACATCAACGGAACAAGTCCCTATTGTCCAACGAAAACCCATCCATCATCCACAGAATAGAGCAGACAGCTGCTTGAATTCAATGCATGGACCAAAACAGAACTCAACATGGGTGTGGGAACAAGCGAATTACTCAATAAGGGGAATGATTTTCTCTCCTACCGGTAATGTGTGTTTAGTGAAGAGCGGGGGGAGGAGAATGAGCAACACCTAGTATGGGCGGAAGGGGTTCCTGCCCCCATTTTCCCCCAAGAATTCAAATGCTCATCTATCCTGTGATGCCAGCTGGGACAATAACGTTCCGTATTCTATAGCCAGCAGCAAGGAGGCAGAAGATCAGAGATAAAATGTCTTCAGTTTATAACCAAGGAGGAGAAAGCTATACTTCTCTTTGAACAATCTTCCAAGAAAGCTCCCAAAATGTTTGAGGTTACAATGTTCCAATACAGGTCAAATGGAGAAAAGAGAAACCTCTAGATTTTTCAGAAGTGGTAAAACTGGAGCACTTCTGTTTTTGTGCTCATTTCCCCCAAAAATAAGAATTATATTCCTGCACTCATTGTGGGAGATGTTCATTACTTCTGCCTACCAGTTTAGGTCTTCTTTTGTTATGTTCTGCTCCGCCAAGACGGAACGGACATATAATGACCTAATACAATGTTCAAGGTAAATGAGGTATTTAAGAAGTGATTTCACCAGCTCCACATACACACAACCCAATGATTTTCCCTGGCTGAGTAGGAATTTGAACACAGGTATCCTGAGTCTTGATCCATCACTGTCCATAACACCACATGGCCATCTTTTTTTTTAGCCCTATCTATTGTAATGGGGAAAGAGCAGGCTGAATCCAATTTTACACAAACTGAGTAGGAATTTGAACCCAGGTATCCTGAGTCCTGATCCATCACTGTCCATAACACTACATGGCCATCTTTTTTTAGCTCTATCTATTGTAGTGGGAAAAGAGCAGGCTGAATCCAATTTTACACAATGATTAGAACTGTCTTCTCCTTCTCCTTCCCTCCAGATCATCATGCTGTTCAAAAGGCCAGCTCTAGAGATTTTTTTCCAGCTCTCTATAGCTGCTTTTGGAGGAATACAAGGGACCACAATGCAGGAGAGAAGGTGACCTC